TTCGACGACGTCCCGCACGAAACGCTCACTTGTCTATTGTTTCAAAACGAGTTCTATTGTTTCACACTGACTTTCAGACCTGAGTCGAACCCTTTGTCGGAAGAAGCTCCACGCGGTCCGCCGTGTTCGAACCGCCATCCCGGTTAGCTGTATAGAAATTCATTTAGGGGTACAAGTCCGAGGTTGCCCGCCCCCCGCTGGCACAGCTCCACTCCCGTCACATTGCGCAAGGATCTGCGCGCTTAAACGAAGCACCTCCGATCCACGCTGCGCCAGCATGTCAAACATTGGGCGATCTTCCATCACGGTACACTACATATAGAGAGAGAGAGGGAAAGAGAGAGAGAGAGAGAGAAAAAACATTAGCCTGGCGAAGGACCCAACCATATGCAGTCGTGGGTCCCGCCATTGTGAGTATCTTCTTCGGCGGCACACCTTATGGGGCCACGAAACGTGTGAGGGGGTGTGCCGAAATGAGTGTAGGGGACGCATGCGGGCGGCAGCACTGGGGCCTTCGGTGGAGCTCCCTATGAAGCCACAAAACGCGTGAGGGGTGTGCCGAAATGGGTGTAGGGGACGCATGCGGGCGGCAGCCCTGGGGCCTTCGGTGGAGCTCCCTATGGGGCCACGAAACGTGTGAGGGGTGTGCCGAATTGGGTGTAGGGGACGCATGCGGGCGGCAGCACTGGGGCCTTCGGTGGAGCTCCCTATGGGGCCATGAAACGTGTGAGGGGGTGTGCCGAAATGGGCGTACGGGACGCATGCGGGCGGCAGCACTGGGGCCTTCGGTGGAGCTCCCTATGGAGCCACGAAGCGTGTGAGGGGTGTGCCGAAATGGGTGTAGGGGACGCATGCGGGCGGGGCACTGGGGCCTTCGGTGGAGCTCCCTATGGGGCCACGAAACGTGTGAGGGGTGTGCCGAAATGGGTGTAGGGGACGCATGCGGGCGGCAGCCTGGGGCCTTCGGTGGAGCTGGGCTGCCGAACGCATGTGGGGCCTTCGGTGGAGCTCCCTATGGGGCCACGAAACGTGTGAGGGGTGTGCCGAAATGGGTGTAGGGGACGCATGCGGGCGGCAGCCCTGGGGCCTTCGGTGGAGCTCCCTATGGGGCCACGAAACGTGTGAGGGGTGTGCCGAAATGAGGTGTAGGGGACGCATGCGGGCGGCAGCCCTGGGGCCTTCGGTGGAGCTCCCTATGGGGCCACGAAACGTGTGAGGGGTGTGCCGAAATGGGTGTAGGGGACGCATGCGGGCGGCAGCACTGGGGCCTTCGGTGGAGCTCCCTATGGGCCACGAAACGTGTGAGGGGTGTGCCGAAATGGGTGCGCATGCGGGCGGCAGCACTGGGGCCTTCGGTGGAGCTCCCTATGGGGCCACGAAACGTGTGAGGGGTGTGCCGAAATGGTGTAGGGGACGCATGCGGGCGGCAGCACTGGGGCCTTCGGTGGAGCTCCCTATGGGGCCACGAAACGTGTGAGGGGTGTGCCGAAATGGGTGTAGGGGACGCATGCGGGCGGCAGCCCTGGGGCCTTCGGTGGAGCTCCCTATGGGGCCACGAAACGTGTGAGGGGTGTGCCGAATTGGGTGTGGGTGACGATGATGATGATGATGATGATGATGATGATGATGATGATGATGATGATGATGATGATGATGATGATGATGATGATGATGATGATGATGATGATGATGATTGATGATGATGATGATGATGATGATGATGATGATGATGATGATGATGATGATGATGATGATGATGATGATGATGATGATGATGATGATGATGATGATGATGATGATGATGATGATGATGATGATGATGGGAGGGGGGAGGAGGCGGAGGAGGAGGGAGGAGGAAGGAGAGGAACGCGGGGCACCGTCTCTTCAAAACGAGGACCCAACACCACAGGATGGTTGGGAAAAAGAGAGATAGAGAGAGAGAGAGAGAGAGAAAGAGAGAGAGAGAGAAAGAGAGAGAGAGAGAGAGACAGAGAAAGAGAGGGGGAGAGAGAGAAAGAGAGAGAGAGAGAGACAGACAGACAGTCATCCCTTCTAAGGAACCAATCTGTGAACCGCCGGATCCGGAATCGAGCGGGCGACGTCGCTTCCCGTCGTCTTTCGGTGTCTCCCGCTGTCCCCCGCTGCCTCCCATTGTCTCCCGTGGTCTCCCGTTGTCGCCGGGTGTCTCCCATCACCTATCCCCATCCCTGTCCCTATCCCCATCCTTATCCCCATCCCTGTCCCTATCCCTACCCCCATTGTCTCTCGTTGCCTCCCATTATCCCCCCATTGTCTCCCATCGTCTCCCAGTGTCTCCATCGTCTATCCCTGTCCGTGACCATATCCCTGTCTCTATCCCTATTCCTATCCCCATCCCTATGCCTGTCCCTCTGACTCTGTACCAATCCGTATTCTATCTCTCGATCCCTACCCCTATTCACATCCCTATGCCTATCCATATATCCCTATTCCATTCATCCCTAGCCCTCTACCCCGATCCCTACCCATATTACTTATCCCGATTCCTCCATCAAGACTCCCCCCTCGTGGCCCCCATCGTAACTGTGTGAAACTGCGTAGGGTCTGATACACAAAGGTGCCATGACAACTGACCGTTTTGTGTGACCGATTCACCAGTTTACACTTATGGCCAAGGACCTCGAGGAAATCTCAAGCGAGAGCCAATCTTTCAAAAGTAGCAGCCCTCCCCATCCGAGCAGCTGCTACATACGCGCAGGTGTCTAATACTCAAGCTGTTGGAAGTCGCAGGCGAGAGCCCCATTATGAAAAGGAAGCGTCCTCCATCCCTGGAGCTGCTGCAGGTTAAAAAACGACTGTACGCGGCACTGCGGTGAGAGCCCCACTTCGAAAAGGAGCCGCCCTCCATCCTCCAAGCCTGTTGTAAGTTAATCAAATGTGCGCGGCGCGAGGGCGAGCGCCCAATCTTGGCAATCGCACCCTCCATGCTTGTAACTGTTGCAAGCTTTTAGCATGGCTGTGCGCGACGACAGGGCGAGAGCCCCATTCCCAAGAGGAGCCGCCCTCCATCGCTGCAACTATTGGAAGCTTTTGAAGCACATGCGCGCAGCGCTCAGGCGAGAGGCCCATTGCGCCACCCCCACTCCATCCCTGTAGTTGAAGCAAATGTCAAGCGTCAGAGTCCTGAATAGTGAGGAGGTCTCAGGCGAAACGCGGGCCCGCCCTACGGATACGCCAGAGTCTGCGACAGGGAGAATCTGTATGAACGCAAGGAACAGGGATTCGAGGGGAGGGGTCGGGGGAAGCTCCACCAGCGGCTGCGAGACAGCCTCTGCGCAGCAGGCCTGGACAGGGCCCCCGTGGCCGCGGCGCTCCTGCACGCGAGGGCGCACTTCGACCACGCCCCCCTGACGCCCACCTGCCGCGCACTGCGCACAGCCGAGGTACCTGCGCACCTGCCGCGCACCTGCCGCGCACCTGCCGCGCACCTGCCGCGCACCTGCCGCGCACTGCGCACAGCGAGGCGCTGCTCCCCCACGCCGCACCTGCGAGCTCAACAGGGCTGCGGGCCTCGCCGTCCTGCGACAGGCGCACCTGTTGCGCACCTACCTGTGCACCTGGGCTGCGGGCCTCGCCGTCCTCGCCTCCCGGAGCTGCTCGTGGCATCCCCCGTGCCGGCCGTGGCCAGCGGGCCCAGGGCCGCGCGGAGGAGCGGCGCGGCCGCGGCGAGGCACACGCAGCGCCCTGCGGCCGCGTGGAGTCCCGACCCCCCCCCCCCGTGGACCCCCGCCCGAGCGCGGTGGCGGAACCGCGCGGCAGCGCCACTGGACTCCGTGCGCGGCCCCCTGGAGTCCCGACCCGTTCCCCAGGACCGGCTCTTCATCCCGAGTCGTTCTGTGACGCTACCCGGGCCCAGCGAGGGCCCCTCGAGGCAGAAAGCGGCCCAAAGCCATCTCCCGTGGCGTTTTCCTTCGCGACGGAAGCCTGCCTGGGACTGCGCCCTGCGGCCCCGGAGGAGGAGGAGGAGGAGGAGGAGGAGGAGGAGGAGGAGGAGGAGGCGAAGCGCGCCAGTGGCTGGTGGCCTCGAGGCGGCGGCGGCGCGGCGCGGACGGGCGGCCTCGACCCCTCGGCTGCGGCGCCGGGGTGCTCGCGGCCGAGGCCGCGGCCACAGCCTGTGTGCGGCGCGGCGCGGCCCACGCCGAGGGGGACGGCGCGCCAGGCCCCCGCGCAGCGGCTGGAGGCGGAGGAGGAGGAGGAGTGCGCGCAGGGCAGGGGCGAGAGCCAGAGTCGGCGGCGAGGTGCGGGGTTCGGGGTCCGAGGTTGTTGTTCGTAGTCTTCGGCCCCTGGGGGCCGTTTTCGGGCCCCTGGCCCCCGAAACTCGATCCGGGATGACAATCGGCGGCGCGCCCAGGGGGGGGACGTGAGAAGGAGAAGGCCTTCACAGAAGGCAGCGAAGCTTCTCAGAAGACCTGTGGCCTTCTGAGAAGTGTTCTGTGCCTTCGGGATGGGCACAACAACTTGTCAGCAGGCCGCTGGACTTTCGAGCCTTCTGGGCCCCGCCGGCTCGCCGCCGACATAAGGCGAGCACCACCTGTGCTCCATCCGCGCGGCTGTTGGGGATTCCACGCCGCAGTCCGGGCACAGGAGTGCGCGGGCGTCGCGTGCGAGGCGCCTGGCCAGCCCTCTCGACACTTCTCTGGACGCGACGGGGAGACGTCATGTAATGAGGGATAGGGACGGAGGAGGAAAAGGAGGAAGAGGAAGAGGGGAAGCAGAAAAAAGAAAAGAGGTGGTAGGATGAAGGGGGGGGACGAGAAGGAGAGGGATCATTAGCGCGGGGGAGGGGGATGAGGACCCGGAGGAAGAGCGTGATGAACCGCAGGGGCGGGACGGAGGAGGAGGGGGAGAAGGGGGAGGAGGAACAAGAAGGAGGATGGACCAGCAGCAGCAGGAGGCAGGAGAGCGAGGAGAAGAAGCTGGAGGCCGAGTCTCGCTGCGCTTGTGATATCGGCCGCCCCGGCCTACGGCGTCCAGGTCGTACATGGCCCTGAAGTCGTGCACCCGCGGCACCCGCTTCAGAGCGCCGAGATGTGGCCCCAGCCTGCCAAAGGAGGGGTGCCCGCGCAAATCGATCACCATTCGACGACGCTGGCGTTCGGAGCGGCGAGGGCGGAGGACACGAGGGTGTGGGGCTCCTCTGGTCCCCCACGTGTGGCCGTAAGCGGCGCCCTCCCCCAGAAGCGCCGACCACGGCGTGCCCAACACGGCGGCACCCGGATTGCGCTGTGGCCAGGGCCCGACACGGCAAGTTCGTGTCGTGACGGCCCAGGCGCTGGTTTCTGACACCGCGTGGATCGTTCAACGTCGATCGGGCATGGACAGAACTCCCTTTAGTAAAACGTGGCTTTGTGAAAACGACCCCGGGCCCAAAGCTGACGGGCGCAAGCCTGGAAAATGACGGCCGCGGCGCCCTCTCGAGAACCGCAAACGGACAGTTCAATAATCGACGTGTCGGGGTGGGGGTTCTGTCCACCCCCGACCCAGACCCCCGACGCCGTGATTTTTTCACAACGTCGACCCCCAGAAGTCTGGACCCTTTCCCCGGGACCAGTTTTTCATCCTGGGTCGCTTTTTGAAGGTCCCGAGGCCCAGGAAGGGACCCCGGAGGCCGAAAATAGCGAAAAACCTCCTGTCGTGACTTGGTCGCAACGCGAGGGGGTCTGGGGGGTTGAACGACCGCGGCATTCCGACGGCCTCCGAGAACGGCCGATTCCGGGGGAGCCGGCGCTCAGCCTCGAAGGCCCTGGGGGCGCCGCCGCGTCGCCGCGCCACGAGCCGACCGCCTGCGAGCCCCGGCCCCCCTGCGGGCCATCACGACGGACCAGCGCGCCACGGGACGTGCCTGGGGCGCGCCAGAGAGTGCGCCAGGAAGCGCACCGCGGGACGCGCCATGGGATGTCCAAGGAACGTGTCGGGAGAGGCGCCAGGGGGCGCGCTCGAGCCCGTCGACTCGCCAGCGGACGTGCCCAGGGGCGAAACGTTCGCCAGGGACCACGGCCCGCTCCCCAGACCCCGTCTTTCTGCAGCATGCCTCGAGCCGCATCGACTCGTGAAAGGCCCGGGGCCCGCAACACAAAGCGACGTCGGCTGCTGTGAACATATTGCGGCGCCAAGATCTCGTGGGACCTTGGGAGCTCGGCACCGCACGGGGCGTCACCAACGCGGCGGGCGCGATGCAGTCAGATTTAGGCCAGAAGAGCATCTCTCCAGGACACCAAAGGGTCCCCCCCCCCCGGATGCACAAGAACGTCCAGCAAACACGACGAACATCCGAGAGCACCCTGCCCGAACCGACCTCGATCCTATACCTCGGGGTCCGACGGTCCCCTGGCGCTGGCCTGGGCCCGCGCGGGGGCGGCAGGGCGCTGCGGAGCCCACCGCCGCCGAGCGGCCGGCTGCGCGCAGGAGCGGCTCCGGGCCCCCCCCCCCCTGCGCCCCCCTCCTGGGGCGACGAGATCTATACATACTCCCTTCTGCTCCCTGGCCAGGCGCATCCTGAGCCCAGCAGCCGTGTATACGCCCTCCTGGCCAGGCCAGAAGGGCGTGGTGTATACACCGCTGGCGGCTGCGCTCGCACCGCGGAGTGGGTCTCTCTATCCGCTGCTGCCTCTGCTCCCGTGGCCGCGGCAGCGGCGGAGCGGCACGGGGCCGCCTTGCACCTGTGATTCGGCATGCTCTCGACGAGCGATGGCGGGGGGAGAAGCAGGCGGCCAGCTTCCCCCCCCTCCTTCTTCTCCTCATCCTCCTCGTCCTCCTCCTCCTCCTCCTCCTCCTCCTCCTCCTCCTGCTCCTCTGCTCCTCCTCCTCCCCCTCCTCCCCCTCCTCCTCCCCCTCCTGGTCCTCCTCCTCCTCCTCCTCCTTCTCCTCCTCCTCCTCCTCCTCCTCCTTCTCCCACTATGGTGAGGGCACTGGATAAGGGATCCTTGGATGAGCACACCGCCGCTGAGCGGCCGGCTGCGCGCAAGAGCGGCCCCACCAGGCAAGAGCGACCTAAAGTACCGATCGGTGCGCCGGGCCCCCGCTCCTACGCCTCCCACTACTGTGAGGGAGGGCATTGGATCAGGAACCCTTATGGAGAAGGAATTCAAACGTCTGAAAGCCGGTGGAGCGCCAATTGAGGCTTGGCCATGGATGTCACCGCCGCCCTCATCGGATAAGGAATCCTCCAGGGTTCTGAAGACTGCTGGGCACATTCCTTAATGAACGCCCCCGCCGTAGGCAAGTAGAGGAACAGAAACCGGCGTAAACACAAACGTTCGGAGCTGCGCGCGGATTTCTTGGATCGTCGCTGGGCCCTCGGGCGGCGCCAGAGACGCCGCCAGGAAGGGGGGCCCAGCGCCGATCCAGCAGACCTCCGAACGTGTATGCCTATGCAGCGTCTGGCTGTTCGACCCGCGCGGCCCCCAAAAGCAGCGCGCACCAGAGGCCACTCCCGCGAGAGGGCCGCGCCTGCGCGCAGCCTGCAGTGGCTGGCGACGGCCGACGAGCAGCATGGGCCTGGCATGCCATGGCCAAGCAGCACGGGCCCCGCAGCCCGCCCGATAGGCCCAGGCCCCCGGGTGCGCACGCGTGGCCGCCCCGCCTGGCCTCGGACGCCATGGCCGTGGCCAACGCCGAGACTCCCAGACCCCCGACGTCGTGATTTTTGCTCGCAACGTCGGCCCCCAGAGGTCTGAACCCTTTCTCCGGGACCGGTCTTGCCTCCCGAGCCGTTTTGTGGATGGTCCCGAGGCCCAGGAGGGGCCGGAGGCCGAAGATGGCGTGAAGCCTCCCGGAGTGTTGTTTCGCTCAGCGCGAGGAGGTCTGGGCTGGGGCCCTGCACCGGGCCCGTGGAGGCCTGGTGGCCGTGGTGGCCGTGGTGGCCGGCGGTGCGGCCATCGCTCGGCAGTTCCCGCAAAGGAGGGCGCTGCACAAGGGACGAAGGGAGGAGGCTCTCCTGGCCGCGGCGAGCCTCGGCCCGCGAGGAGGCGCCTCGCCCAGGCGCCGAGGCGCGGCCCAGAACCCTCCTCCTACCCCCCTCCTCCTCCCCCTCCTCCTCCTCCTCCTCCTCCTCCTCCTCCTCCTCCTCCTCCTCCTCCTCCTCCTCCTCCGGGACCCCCCCCACGCCCCTTGAGATCTGACGCTCCAACAAAAATTGGAGCAGGCGGTTGTGTCAGTTTTCGACCTTCGGGGGCCCTCGCCGGGCCTCGGGAGCGTCAAAGAACGGCTCCGGACGAAAAACCGGTCCCGGGGAAGTGGTCCGGAGCTCCGGGCCCACGCATCGAAAAAATTTGAACTCTCTGGGAAGCGAGAGGCCGCCCCAGCGGAGCCCACAGCGGCCCTTGCTTTGGCGCCCTGGCTGGCCCAGCACTCCGCTGCCGTGGCTGTCGCAGCGTGGACCCCCCGAGGTCTGGACCCCATCCCGCGGGCACCGGCTTGTCGCCCTGGGTCGTCGTTCTGTGGACGGCCCCCTGCCCCCAGAGCCCGAACACGGCCAAAAACTCTCCGCCGCGATGTCTTCGCAACGTGCGGAAGTCAGCTTTTCGACCCAACTCGGGTCTCCGGCGGCCGTCCGGGACGGTCGGGGCCCCCCTAGCACCTCCTCGGCGAGGCGCAGCTGTTGCAAAGCCTCCCGAGGCTGGAGGACAGCTGAAAAAACCGTCCGTCGTGAAATCTTCGTTTTCGCAGCTCGAGGAGGTCTGGGGTAGGCTTTCCCCGACCCCGGCAGCCTTGCAGCGGGTGGATGGCGAAAAGAGAATCGCCTGCTCTCCAGGCGGCGGTCTGGCGTGGCGGGCGCCGTGTCTATGCTGGGCGTCCCATCGAACTCTGTGCCGCTGTCGTCCAGCGAGTCTGGCCAGTGTGGCGCCGCGTCCCTCGAGGGGGGAGGAGGGGGGAGGAGGGGGGAGGAGGAGGAGAAGGAGGAGGAGGAGGAGGAGGAGGAGGAGGCGGAGGAGGCGGAGGAGGAGGAGGAGAAGGAAGAGAAAAAGAAGAGGAGGAGGAGGTGGAGGACCAGAGTCCCAAGGCTCGCCAACGATATTTCAATAAACCCTCCCTCCAAGCTCCCTCGTCATAGGCCCTACAATGATTCATTTCCACTGAAGGAGACGCCCTGTTGGAAGACAACCGTTAAAAAAGGCTTGAGCTGTACCAAAACACAACGCCACGAATCACCGTTACAGTTGCGTCTTGACGACCCTGAATCGTGCCAACACACATCATCCTCGTGACCCTAGAGGGAGTCCAGCTGAAAGCGGATTGTGCAATAGATTTTGGGCAAGTGTTCTGCAAATGCATTGCGCCAGAGAAATGTATTGCATCGTATTGCAACTCATGCATTGCACGCGAAACTCCAGGAATACATTTGCGCACCGGAATGGATTGCACACCCCAAGCCTATTGCAACCCCACAAATCTGATCCACCCCCTTTTCGCTGGACCCGCTTTTGGGTCAACCAGACTTGAACACCGCAAAGCAATTTAACCGTTGCGCCCTGGCAGTGCGACATCGCACCAAAACAACATTTCTGGAACGGAAACAATGAGAGCCGTTGAAACGTTCAAACTGTTATGTTTGTTTAACGAAAAAACACATGTGCGGGGCGCGAAGGGGAGAGCCACATGTTGAAAAGGAACCGCCCTCCATCCGTGAAGCTCTTGCAGATGTTTAGGACGAATGGGCGCGGCGCTGACGCGAGTGCCACATTTTGAAAGTGGACCAACTTCCATCCGGGATGCGGGCGGCGCTGAGGCGAGAGCAACATTCTGAAAGCGGACCACCCTCCACCAGCGAAGCTCTTGCATATTCCCATCTCAAAGATCATGAATGGTGAGGACCTCTCGGGCAAGACGCCCGGCCCGCCCTACCGACACGCCTCGGGGTGCGACAGGGAGGCGTACTGTGTAGGAAAAGTGAGGGAACGTTTTGGAACGTTTTGGCGAGCACAGCGTGCACAAGCCTGGCGAAGAACCCCACCATCTGCAAATGTGAATGCCGCAATTGTGAGTACCGTCTGAGGTGGAACTCCCTATGGGGCAACGCTCGCACGCGGGCTGTGTCGTTGGGGCCTTCGGTAGTGGAGCCGCGAAGCATGCGAGGGGTGTTCCGAAACGGGGGTGTCGCCCACATGCGGGCTGCGCTGCTGGGACCGTCGGTGGATCTCCCTATGGGGCCACGAAACGCGTGAGGGCTGTGCCGAAACGGGGGTGTCGCCCACATGCGGACTGCGCCACTGATCTCTGTAGGGCCACGAAACGTGTGAGGGGTGTGCCGAAACGGATGTGTCGCCCATATGCGGGCTGCGCAACTGGGGCCTTGGGCGGGTGCGAGGGGTTTGCCGAGACGGGGGTGTCGCCAACATGCCGGCTGCGCCACTGGGGCCTTAGGTGGAGCTCCCCATGGGGCCACGAACCGTGTGAGGGGTGTGCCGAACCGGGGGTGTCGCCCACATGCGGGCTGCGCCACTGGAGCCTTAGGTGGAGCTCACTCTGGGGCCACGAAACGTGCGAGAAGTTTGCCGAAACTCAGGTGTCGACCACATGCGGGCTGCCCCACTGGGACCGTAGGCGGATCTCCCTGTGAGGCCACGAAACGTGTGAGGGGTGTGCCGAAGCGGGGGTGTTGCCCATATGCGGGCTGCGCCACTGGGACCGTAGGCGGAGCTCCTTGTGGGGCCACGAAACGTGTGAGGGTAGTGCCGAAGCTCATGGCAATGATGGTGATAAGAACGGTCATGTTGATTATGGTGATGATGGTGCTGCTGATTGTGATGCTGCGGCTGTTGATGTTGATGTTGATGTTGATGTTGATGTTGACGTTGATGTTGATGTTGGTGATACTGATAATGAGAATGATGATGATGCTGCTGATGATGCTGCTGCTGCTGCTGATGATGATGATGATGATGAGGAGGAGGAGGAGGAGGAGGAGGAGGGAAGGGGGCAGCGGAAGGAGACGGAGTGACGCGGGGCGCTGTCTCTTCAAAACGAGTGACCCATCACCACAGGTTGGCTGGGAAAAAAGACAGGGCAGGGCCAGCCCCCACGCCGTGCGCCAATAACCACAAGGTACGGGCGCACCCCAGGCCCCTTCCTCCCCGCGACCCGCGGGCGAGCAGGGGACCCCACGAGGGGCGGGGTTGGGGTGACGGGCGCGCTACCCCTAGGAGGCCGAGGCCGAAGTGCCGTCCCGAGGGCAAGCCTCGGGGCGCGACTGCTGCGCCACTGAGGCCCGAGGCCGAGCCTCCTGGAAGCCGGCAGAGGCCGTCGAAGGGCCAGCGAAGGACTGGGAAACGTGCCTTCCGAATCCTGCCGAAGTTCTGCAGGCCCGTCCTCGTGGGAGCCTCGCGAGAACCCACCAGGGAGAAGGAGGACAATTTGGAGTATTTGGCTAAGCACTGGTCATGTGCGTACCAGGGAGAAGGAGGAGAAGGAGAAGGAGGAGGAGGAGGAGGTCGGACTTGGCATGCCAGTAGTATCACACCGAGCGTGTCTAGGGGGAGGAGGAGGAAGGAGGAAGGAAACACATGCGGAGGACGGCGCTGGCTCTCGCGGGGCCGCTTGACCGGCAGGGTCGGCGGGCCCAGCGACGCGGTTCGGTGGCAAGCGCCCTCCCCCACTCCTTTTCCTCCTCCTCCTCCTCCTCCTCCTCCTCCTCCTCCTCCTCCTCCTCCTCCTCCTCCTCCTCCTCCCCCTCCGCCTCCTCCTCTTCCTCCTCCTCCTCCTCCTCCTCCTCCTCCTCCTCCTCCTCCTCCTCCCACGGCAAAGCGTCGAATTCGCATTTGCCATCGCCGTTCGTCTCGCTTGCGGGCCTTGCGCCGCGCTGGTGCCAGCATTGGGCACGCGCAGTGCGCTGGGCCGCAGGGATGTGGGGCGTGGCGGTGAGGGGTATACCGTGGCGGGATTTGGGGGGGATCAGAGCTCAGGCGCTGCATTCTCTTTGCCCTCGCCGCCGAGGCGCGGCAACCGGTTTGAAGTTGCAGATGTTTCGGCTAGGTGTTCGAATCGATCCTGTGCCCAAGTATTATGGGGATGTGATTTTTGAGTGGGCCAGAGCGGTCTGGGACTCCACGCCCAACTTGGCCATTCTGCAGGCGGTCTTCGAGGATGCGGTTCGGACGTTGGCCGCCAACTCCAGGCCGTGGGCGAAGGCCACCTCGCCAGCGCATGTTTACGTGATCGCGATATGGGATCTTGGCTGGACGGCCACTTCTGCGCGTAACATTGTGCTGCCGTCTCGGGAGGTGCTTGATTTGCTCAGGATCTCCCCCTCGACGGTCCGTCGCTTGGCCGAGGATGCGGCCAGGGACATGTCTGACCTGAGGGACCTGGAGACTAGGATTGGGTCTTCCAGAATGTCGGGAGGAGTCCGTCCCGTCTTTTGGGAGCCTTTGCGGGAGCTCTGCTCTCGGTCCTCTGCTGTCTGGTCCAAGAGCCACGCTAGCTCCCTGAGGGCTTCGGTTTCGGGGACCCATTGGACCCAACAGCGCCTTTTCTGTCATCAGTTCACGGCCTCTAGCGAATGCAAGCTTTGCAGGCACGCTTTTCCATCGCAGGTTCGACTGCCCCACCTGGCAAGCTGATAGGCGTCAGTTCGGTTCTCCAGAGCTTCTCGCGGCCGCCCGCGCTGTCGAGCAGAACGGGCAGGCCTCGGAGTTTTTCGCTGCCGGTATATTGCCATGCCCGAGTGTTCGCTCCGCCTGTGCTGCGCCTCGCTGAGTGCCAGGCCATGTGGGTGGCGCGCCCGTCCGAGGGCCGCCTCTCAGGCCGGCTGTTCACCGACGGTTCGGCACTCTTTGATCACGACCCCCTCCTCCGTCGGGCGGGGTGGTCGGTGGTGATGGTGGACGAAGGAGGCCGAATGTTAGCAGCTTGTTTCGGGCCTGTCCCGTGGGAGTTCGCCCCGTTTCAACAGGCGGAGGATGGTGAAGATTACGCCTTCGCCATGCTGCCGCAAGCAGCCATGATCCCTTTTGAGGTGTGGTCCGACTGCTCTGCTGCAATAGGGTGCGCTACCTGCAGAGCGTGGGCCACTTCGGCTCGGAACCCGCAGGCCTATCTTTGGGGCCGCTTCTTTGCAGCGCCCGATGATGGCGGGCCCGTCCACAAAACCAAGGCCCACACGACGGAGGCCGACCTGCAGGCTGGGCGCACCACGGCATGGGAGCGCAAGGCCAATTCGGTGGCGGACACCCTTGCAAAGCGGGGGGCCGCCATGCATCCCGACGCCAGCGAAGCCGCCAAGAGTTTGGCAGGCTTGGCTCTCTTAGGGGAGGAGTTGGGCCGATGGGCGGGGATCCAGGGAGTGCTCATGCCGGAGCGGGAGTGGCGAGACTCGGATGGCCTCCCTGAGCGGACGGCTCGGCGAGGTCGCGCCGCCACGCCTTCTGCTCCGTCGCTGTCTGTTCGTATCCGCTCGATTTTGTCGCTGCAGGCGGAGGCGCCTGTGGATAGTGAGCTCGCGCTGCTTGTGCAGTTGTTCGCGCACGAAGTTCGCGTAGCTCGCGTCTTCGACGCAGCCGGCGGCCTCGTGCTGGCTGCGCCCAGGCTGCTCTGCTGCACCTCCTGTGGAGCCTTCGCTTGGGGCGCGGCCCGTAACCTTTTGCAGCCGTGCAAGGGTGAGAGGGCTGGGTCGGGTTGCAAGCAGCAGACGGCGCGAGTGGCCCGTGGTCTGATCCCCCGCTGGTTGAGCCAGTATGCGGGGTGGACGCTTGGCGCCCTGGAGGCGCCGTCTGCGTCGGACTTGGCCCAGCTGGCCAACACTGTGCTGCACACAGGAGTCACCCAGCGCCGCTGGCCTCTCGTGCTGCTTTTTCCGTGGCAAGCCGATGCCGTCCGCTCGACCCTGGCGCGTTGTGGTCTCACGCCTTCGGGCCTG